TACTCCCCCAAACTTGATTTATCTGACGTGCGATCGCGATTGGTCAGTTTTCGAGCAGGTTGACGGTTTATTGTAGAAAATAGAACACAAAAACCCAACACAACTATAGTCCGAATGGGGCACTAAAACGAGGGAACGGGTAGGGATAGTAAGATGGGGGACTGGGAGTGGGTAAAGGGAAGAGTGAGAAATGAAAAAGACTGTGGGAGACTGACTGACTGAATGATCGATCAATTTACGATTCCCTGTTCACAGCACAGCCCTATCATCATGATATTCGCAACTTCACTCCCCCGACGAGCGAACATTGCCGGGTACACGGATGCGGAGGTAAACTGATCACATACAAAGTCATTTGCAGTCTGACCGCGAGAACCTATCACGTGCAGTGTAGAATAAATACCGACAAATTGTCGCACCTACCCGGGCCCCGGCTCAACTGAGATTGGACAGGAGAAAACAAGTTTGCCCGTGTGCTCGGGAGATTTGTTTGCTGGTTGTCAATGTGGATCAGGTGCATGTCGTGTTCCACAGGACGAAGAGTACTTTTTAACAGTTCACGTGGTTTCCCGTTCACAAGACCTAGTTGTGGACTGAATCCTACAGGTTCCCAAACTTCAATGGCTCTCATCGATGATCTCAGAGGTGAAATGTGTGTGAGATTCCCGTCAAATGAATTAGCGTTTTCCACATACATACAATACAGTACTATAGGACATTGCAATTCTATTAGTATTATTATTATTTTAGTATTAAGTGAGTCCAAAGAAAACTTCTAAACTAGTTACAAGCGTAAACTTTTTTAATTTATCACACTAATGTAATTACAGCAAAAATGGACACCCCTCAGAGACTCATCTTTTTGCAGCATAAACGAAGGGGTACATGCGGGAAGCGGGGGGAGAACACTCTGTCCGAGGTTAGAGAACGTGGGGGTCACTAATCGGTAACTAGCTACTAACTTCGCCATGAAGAAAGNCCGTTCAAAATAACGGTTATGCACTTACTAGACCGATACGTCTGTCAGTTCATACGACATCGTTTCTCCCACCGCCCCCCCGCCCCCCTCCGCGCCGCAGTCCCCAGCCCCGGAAGAACAAACACAATGAGTCAGAGTACAGATATACGATGCATAGTTGAACGGAGTAGAACCACCACCACCACGACCATGTGTAGGCCGTAAAACTTTGCTCTGATGACTTCCAGCGCCTTCAATTATGCATAGACTGCAGTCATGCGAATGAACGTTCGATGAAAAGGTCCAGATAGGGAACAGGATTCACAGGCGATTGACTTGCTGCCACAATAGGGCGTGAGTCTACTGGGGTATCTCCTACAACTCCCTGCCCCCCCCCCGGCGCGCGCCCACCCCATCCCCCGATTTACAAACCCTCACTTCACGTGCTAAGCTTCATCCACGTTTCATTACTTGTTCCGGGACACTCAGCTTTGTTTAGTTTGGTACACACTAGACAGTCATTGTAGAGTGTGCTATTAGAATGGGAATACCGCATTTGTATCACCAGCATCATCATCATCATCGACATCATTGCAACCCCCAACCCCCATCATCACCACCACCACCGTCAGAAAACCAGCATCAATTGATACAGCACCAACGGACCAAATCCACTTCCGGTTGGTATGGTACATTCCGTCGGTCAGAAAGCTGTTGTATTCCGGGTGTGGTCCAAACGATCGATGACGGTTGTCAATGGATAAGGAAGCAGTAATTTTGGAATAGGTATGCAATTAAATCTTTGAAAACCAAAGAGGGATGTAGCTAGAAACAAACAACAACTGATGGACAGTAGCTGACTGACTGACTGCAGCTGATTGATTTGTGGTCTTTCAGTCCCTTTTGCAATTATTAAGATTCAAATTGTTGCACTTCAGTAAGCGATTATCAAATAACCCACAAGGTTTCGCCAATTCTACAGTGTATTTGACGAAACATTTGCGCCCGAAAACAAATATTATAATTACACTGATTCCCCGAAGTCGTTGTCGTCATCGTCTAAGTCATGAATTTATACTGAAGGTAATTGACATTCATTTCCTTCTGTACTATGTGCGCTCCCTCGTCTCTCCGCGTTCCATAGACTCGTTTTGTTCGTCGTATAAAGCGGGCCACGTGAGTACAAAAATGAGGCTGCTCGTGCTTTGCACAGGCACCGAATGATTTAGCAAACAATCCAAATACATACTTCGTTCAAGGCATTTTTGAATCAGCTGGTAGGCTATATTTTATCATTGAATCGGATCAGTCTTTTATTGAGATATGTGATCCCATCCAACTAGGTCGAGCTTGTCAACAAAAAGAGCTCATAATTGATTACGAATTCCAAATCTTATTCTACCCTCATTTTCCGAACCACTTCACATGTATCATTGATTTCATGGGTTTGTAATTTCTCGTGCCTATAACAAATTACCAAATTTTTGTACCATTCGGTCGAATCCTTACATGACTGATTGATTGATTGATTGATTAGTCGGTAGGATTAAAACGTTGATGCTGTGATAAAAGCTCCTAAAATTGACCTAGACTTTGTGAAATCAACGACTTTGTCATTAACATTAGATTGACCATTTTCCTCTCATGGAAGGTCTGAGTTATTTCCCTGACCTGTGTGTGTGAGAGAGAGAGAAAGGTATGAAGTGGATTAATGAGTCATTCAGATTTCATTTAGATGTGATAGAAACACAGATCGGTATAACAATCATCTGTAGGGACTGGACGCGATCATGGGTTCAACTAGGTGACAAGGTTGGCGAGTCCAAACGCACCGGTGAACCCCAATCCAATCGAGCAGAACCAAAGCACATCATGAATCAGTTACTTCAAGCGCCGCACTATTGCACAGTGAAAAACGGTATCTGGTTGATGAACAAGCCGAACAACGCTAAACTTTTACACAAAATTTTAACTGCCAAAAGCGAGTCATTGTTTCCCAGGACAATCCCTTTGCATCCGATTTTCCGGTATGAAAGCATGTTTTCGAAAGAATATCAAACTTATGATCAGATTTTGGGGCGGGGAGAGTTCAGGTTTGTTTATTTATTTATTTGTGTGTATATGTGCTCATTAGAGAACCACATCACCCCCACCTTCTTTCTCTCTCACACACACATTATCGGCACCACCCTAGTTTTGGTCTAACGGAGACAGCAAGGACAGTGAATATACCGTTAGGTTTGAACGCGCGCATACACACACGTGCGAAGTTGATTGCTAATTACAAGTCCTGGATAGCACGGACAACGGTAACAGTAAGCTGACAATACACACACACACATACACACACACACACACACACACACACACTAGACATACTCTCGTGTGAATCGAGAAAATTGNTGACCGAATTTATGAATTAGTGAATTCGTTTTGATCCCCGAGCACGAGAAGAGATAAACAGTGGCATGTGTTTACATTCTTATCAAACGATTTCTCAAGAATTTGATACCCAAAGTTAATCAGCTAGCGTCATATCTACACACACCCACACACACACACACATACACACACACACACACACACACACACATATATATATATATATACAAACGAAGTGATTGCAGCTACCGGATCCTGACAGGTTACATATGTCTGGCTGAATTTAATCCATTGACCTCACCTATTTATTCCATCATGAACGGCCAAGTTCACTTCGAACTAAATGATCATTCAGAGCTGGGTGTAGATAGAAGTGAGCTGAGTGAGGTTCATCGAGTCGAAGGCATAATACTCGTTATTCCTTCGAGTGCTACGGGATCTCAAGTAGGCAGTCACATGACATGAACACAAATGTGATTTGGTAACTGTTCCTCCAGGGCTATTGCATTGCATGGACAGGTTTTGTAACGATACATATGGTGCGATAAAACAGACACGGTAGATGCATAACTTCTTTTAAAACTTGTCCCCCCTGAACTAACTATTTGAATGTCACACCTGTTCCTCTCAAGTATCTATCACCAATTTCCTTTATTGGTTCAGTGTGCTGTAATTCGTTTCCATCCAATCTAATGTTCAAGATCATTCGCACTGCGACGTTGAACCCACGACAGAGTTAGCACTGTTTACAGTCTCGATCGCCGTGCGTGAGTGACCACTAACCGATTCCATTCACTGCTACTTTCATCATAAAAGCTAGATCCAGTCTTCAACTCATTCTTGCTACGATCAGGAGAGTGATAGGAGATTTGATTCGGTATCCACAAAGCAAACGAAGCGTGAATTGGAAAGCTGGGTAGCAATAGTGGACAGCAGATTCAATCTAGCTGAACCTCATCAGCAGTGTGCGAATCCATCAACCCAACTAGGGATCAAAATCGGGACCTCGCACAAGCAAGCGTACTACCCATTCTATCACTCCAAGGCAGCTGATCAGGCCAGTTGAGCCGATGGATTCACGCACTGCTGATGAGGCCCGACCTAGTTGAAACAGCTGTCCAGTATTGCTACCCAGCTTTTCAGTTCACGGCCAAATTCACCACATCATAAAATCAAGTCTTCTACTACACTCATTTAATAATATGCAATTGCTCACTTTACCTTCGTTTATATACAAGAACTATACTAACGTTAGATAGANGTGTGGAGAGAGATATAGACACAGAAAGGTTTTGCTAGGATGTGCCGAATTATCTGGCCCGCAAAGAGTTGACCGGTTTCATCAACGAAATCATGACTGGTTTCGGGGTACCCGAAAACAATCGATAATCCAAGTCGCTGCTGGAAAAAGATCAGGCTTTATCTTCACGGAAGATAAAGCCTCGGAACACCTATTGCAAGACGTTCGATTGTACAAATATATCACAGCGTTTAGTGCGCACCGCGGACTCCTGGATTGCCAGGTATTGATTCCATTAAAAATTCCTAGTAAGATCACAAAGCAACCCGCCGAAAGCTTCGAAATCATAGAGATGGTCACGTGGTCAAGGTCATTCAAACAGCTACCACGAGGCCCTGAGTTCTAATACCACCAACGCTACCCATTTCCAATATGGTTCCCCAGGTAACTCTATGTTTAGCTATACCTCCTTCCAGAAGGTTGGATGTACATTTGTATACTCAATAAATGGAGTCAGATCAGTATTATCGTCTACTAGAACTAAAGAGTTTGGTTGCAGGCTACAGGGGATCGAATTTCTCGGGACTGCATGACAAATGNAATGTTGCCAACAATATACCACACACACACACACACCGAGTGAAGTCATTACTAGTAAGGGTAGCATTCATCAACACCAATAATTCTCTTTTCCGATACACTGTTTTCCGTGTTGACTATACGGCAATGAGGTATTTGAATGCATTTAGTTTCGTTTATTTACAATTATTTGCACAGTTTTATGCGATTCACCAAATTTGTACATGGTTCCTCTCACTTGGTACAGCGTGGGGTCGGTTTCTCATTCGACTTTGACCAGCAATGTATGAAATCTGTTTGTTGCGTTAATTGGTTTCTTGTTCCCGAAACAAAATCCACAATTTCATTGAGAGAAAGATAAAAACCAACGTGTTCTCACGTTAGGTCTTGCACACTTGGATCACGTATCGTTGTGTTCTAGGATCAGAGGTACGCGGATTCGGAACCTATCCGGTTTGTTTATGTCAACCTG